CTGACGTAGTAGCAACTACCTGCCTATTTCGATCTTGCAATTCTGTCAGAATTTCTCTATAAGGAGCTAAAGAGCTATTCAATTCTCTTTTAAATTTTCCGCTACGTACAACTGAAGGATCTTTTTCAACGAAAAATGTTTCCAATTTTTTAGCTAAAGCTATTCCTTCTTCCAGATCAATTAAATTTAAATGAGGAACCGTTGTAATATTACAAATGTTTTCCGAATCATCGGGGTAATCGAAGTTGGAGTTATTTAGTAGTTCAATTAGTTCTTCCTCATTCAAAGTTTGCTCTTCAAATAGTTCCCGAACATCATCAATGTTCATATCAGAAAATCCGTCCCCTTCTAAATTAGAAGCAACCGATATTATTCTGCTAAATTCTGCTTCCTCAAATAGGACACAGCTTCCTCTCTGGACCATTTGCGGTAACAAAGGTTTCCAACACGCATGAAGTGTAGACTGTTTTAATTCCTTGCAAGCCACATCTAAAGTTGTGACACAATCTAAAATAGAAAACTCTTTCCAAGCTTGAGTAAGCGTAACATTTTTATCGTTTTCCAGTCTTTCAAAAATTTTTTGGAATGCTAGTCGTATGTAGTATGCCTTGGTTGTTGCAATGATTCCTTGATCTAATGGTTGGATCAATGACGTACAATTTGGAGGAAAAAACACAATTTTTACGTTAGGATGATTCAACTCTCTACTATGGCTACCTGCATTATCAATGAGCAATAAAACTTTAAAGCTCAAATTTTTTTTCTTCAAAAACTTTTCTACTTCTATAATAAAACAATTTTTAAACCAATCTTCAAACAAATTTTGCGTCATCCAGCCTTTTTTATTTGCTCGCCAGAAGACTGGTAGATGAGACTTATCAACGTTTTTCAATGCTCTGGGATTCAAGGAACGATTTATTATCATTGGTTTTACTACAAAATTTCCTGATAGGTTACTACACATGTGAAGGGTAACACGATCTTTACAAGTTTTATAACCTGGTGATTGCTTCTCATTTTTTGAAATAAAAGTTCGAGACGGCAGTCTCTTCCAATATAAAGCTGACTCATCGGCGTTGAAAATTTGATCTGCTGAATACTCTCCCTCTTCAATAATTCGCGGTATTTCCAATATAAATTTTTGAGCAGCTTCTACATCTGCTGAAGCTTGTTCTCCTTGCAATTTTACATTGCGCAAAGAAAATCTTTTTTTAAAATTTTCAAACCACCCTTTACTTGCCAAAAATGATAGGTTTGGTTCTTCTTTAGAAGAAAGTTCATCTTTCCTTAAATGTGTGTAAACTCTGAGGGCTTTTTGTTTAATAATATTTGTACTCAAAGGGATTTTTTTATCTAAACAATCTTCTATCCATATTATAAGAGCATGTTCCATTTTTACGATATTTATATCTCTTTTGCGGGACACACGTTTTGCACCTTGCGAGCAACCAAAGGCAACATTTTTTCTAATTTCGCTTTCATTTTTGAATATTGTTCGAATAGTAGCTTCGTTTAAATTTAATGATTTTGCAATCGATGTAGGTTTTTCTCCGCTTTTTATACGATCTAAAATTGCAATTTTTTCTTCGAGTGAAATAAATTTTCGTTTAAATTTTTGCTTCTTGATCTTGTCAGACATTATCTAAATTTAGGGTCCAAAATAAGATTTACAATAAACGTTACAACTTCATTTTTTACATACCTCAAATTAAAATTATTATGCACTTATAAACTTGCAAAAGAAGGCTTTTTTACTACGTACTTTTTACTTTACTTTCTAAAATGTTAAAAACAAAGCAAGCTAAAACTTTATCAACTTCATTTACAAAGGACAAAACGCAAATGTACTTTCACTTCTCAAAACGAAATGAGATATTTTTTTGTAGCAATAAATTTGTGGTATTCCCCTTATTGAACGGAAAAAAAAATTAAAATTTTCAATGCATATTTGTTATTTATTTCAAAACCCTGTTTTACCGTGTAATATCGAAACCGTGTTATATTAATCTCAATTCTTGTACCGTGTAATATCGAAACCGTGTTATATTAATCTCAATTCTTGTACCGTGTAATATCGAAACCGTGTTTTACAAGTACCGTGTTATACGAGGGACGCCTGTATTTGTTTTTACTACGGCTACTCTTACTAAACCATCTTTTCCCGTTATCACTTCTTGAATTCGACCCATTGGCCAATTCAGCGGTATCAAGTTTTCTTCTTTTATTAATACTAACATTCCAGGCATTACGTTTTGGGTAGTTTTGGCCCATTTATTTCTTATCTGAAGCTCACATAAATACTCCGTGCTCCATCTTTTCCAAAATTCTTTTCTTAAAGCTGATACAAGTTTCCATCTAGTTAAATTTGATAAATTTTTATAGTCTGCGTTCGGCTCCGGAATTGATGTTAAAGGTTCACCAACTAAAAAGTGGCCTGGTTTTAAAGCTGTTAAATCATTTGGATTAGATGATTGCGGTGTTAACGGTCTTGAATTTAAAATTGATTCTGCTTCACAAACTAGAGTACATAGTTCTTCGAAAGATAATGCAGCTGACACTAAAACTCTTTTCATTAATTTTTTAGCTGATATTACAGCTGCTTCCCAAAGGTCTCCAAAGTGGGGAGATCTTGGTGATGCAAAATGAAACTGTATTCCTTTCTCTTGACAGTTTTTTATAATTTTACTTTTATTTTTGTCTGTTGTTAATATCTTTTCTAATTCATCAAATTTCTTTTCTTAAATATTTCTGGCACCAACAAAATTAGTAGCATTATCGCAAAATAAATCTGTACAAATTCCTCTTCTAGCAATGAACCGACGCAGTGCTCCAATAAAACCTTCTGCAGTTAAATCCGATACAACTTCCATATGAATAGCTTTAGTGGCAAAACAACAGAAAACAGCTATAAGTTTTTCCCCTAATATGGTAATGTGTAATAAATGGACCACAAAAATCTACCCCTGAATGCAAAAATGGTCGAGCAGGAAGTAATCTTTTTTCAGGTAAATTTCCCATTTTCTGCTCAAATAATTTTGGATTCATTTTTGTACATGAAACACAATTGCTGACAACTGCTCGTGCTAAATATTTTGATTTGATTATCCAATAGTTTTGTTTAGATATCGCTACTAGGGCTTGCGGAGCAGCATGTAAATTTTGTAAATGTAAATGATTCATGAGTAGCTTCGACACAAAATCACAACCTGGTAGCAACATAGGATGTTTTGCATCGTAGGATATTAATGAATTTTCTAACCTGCCGCCGACTCGAAGTATTCCATTTGAATCTATAAATGGAGCGAAAGACGCTATATTACTGTTTCTTTAACATTTTAATTTCATCTGCAAAATATTTTCTTTGAATCTCTTTAATTATTGTTGTACGAGATTTTTGCAATTCTTCTGTTGTCAAGTGTAGGTCAGAATTTTTAGAAGAGTTTGTCCTTTTGTATGACTTAAATTTTTCTACAGCTCTTCCGACATAAGCCATGCACCTTACTAGGTGGTCCCATGAATTTTTATGTTGTATCATATATAAAGGATGGTTGAGCTCTGCTTTATTTTCTTGAAAACTTCCTAATAATGCAGTCGATTTCCTTTCTTCATCCTCAACGTTATCAAGCGATATTTTGCAATCAGGCCATTCATTTTTATTTAAACTTAAATATTCCGGTCCGCAAAACCAAATTCTAGTATCAATGAGTACATCAGCTGTTCCCCTCTAGATATTAAATCTGCTGGATTTATCTTTGTATTCACATTGTTCCATTGTTTTGAATCAGATTTGGCTAAAATGTTCGTTATTCGATTTGCCACATAAGTTTTATATAATGCTGGTTCACCTTTTATCCAAGACAATACGTTTTTGGAATCTGTCCAATAGTATGTGTCATCAATTTTCCGTTTTATTACGCTTTTAACCTTTTTCATTAATTTTGCTAATAATTTTGCTGCACATAACTCTAGACAAGGATTGTTGTTAATTTTGTTGGTGCTACTTTGGATTTTGAACACAGCAACCTGCTAGTTATGGCTCCATTATGGCTATCAACTGTTCGGCAGTATATAACAGCACCATATGCCTTCTGACTAGCATCTGAAAAACCATGTAGTTCAACTCGGTCTGCTATATTTTCGCTAAGTACGTGCCTTTTTATTTTTAGATAATTTAGCATCGTTAAATCTCGCCGAAAATCTGTCCATTCATTTAAAACATTTTCATTGACTTCGTCATCCCAATCAATTTTCGATCTCCATTAATTTTGAATTAAAATCTTCTCTTTAATAACCACTGGGCTAGCAAAACCTAGAGGATCGAATAATTTTGCTGTGTCGGACACGATTTTTCTTTTTGTAACTTTTTCTGCATCTGACCATGTTGTAGAGAACGCAAAATAATCTCTTGCTGGACACCATGTTAAACCTAATGTTTTGATATATGTAGCTGGAGTTTTCTTCTGTAAACATTTTTTCTGTTTCTCTATCTGTAGGATGAATGTCGCTTATTATTCCTTCATGATTTGAAGCCCATTTGTGTAATGGAAATTTACCAGCGTTTAACATGCTGATCAGTTGCTTTTTTAAGACCATCATTTCTGCTAGTGTATCGCTACCAGTGATAATATCATCTATATAAAAGTCATCTATAATTTTAGCTGCTGCAGGATATTTTATTGCTTCATCTTTAGCCAATTGCTTTAAGCACCTAACTGCTAAGTATGGAGCCGATCTGGTACCGTATGTAACGGTTTTTAATTTATAGTAACCTATGCTATCTTTTGGGTTACTTCTCCACATGATCATCTGTAAATTCTGATCTTTCTCTGATACTTTGATTTGCCGGTACATTTTTTTAATATCAGCTGTAATTACATATTTATATGTCCTGAATCTAATTAGAATGTCGAAAAGGTCATCTTGATTGTTTGGACCTTTAAGCATGATATCATTAAGTGACAAGTTCGACGTAGTTTTACACGAAGCATCGAAAACTACTCTTAATTTTGTTGTTGAACTTTCTGCTCGGAGAACGCAATGATGCGGAATGAAGTAATGATTTTTTGGTATCTCATTACAGGAACCTTTTCCATATGTCCTAAAATTTCATATTCTTTCATAAATTCGGTATATTGTACTCTAAGTTGCTGATTTTTCCTTAATTTCTCTTCTATATTTAAAAATCTTCTGAAAGCTGCTTTTCTTGAATCGCCTAGTACCGTTAAATCACCAAGAATCGGTAAACTGACTTCAAACCTTCCTGAATGATCTCTTTTGAATGTGTTTTTAAAATGTTCTTCACATAAGTTCTCTGATTTTGTAAGTTGTTTTTCTGTATCTTTGATTTCTTCTATATCCCAAAATTTCATTAATGATTCTTCAAGTTCTTCATTTGTTATACCAGAAAAAGGTTTTATTTCATCATTTAAGCTCATTTTTCCAAACACCATCCAGCCAAAAACGGTTTTTTGTAATGTTGGTAAATTAGGCCCTATTTTAATTTGACCATTTCTCATAAATTCAGCATACATTTCGGCACCCAATAACATATCTACTCGCCTTGGTATATTAAAATTGGGATCTGATAAAGCAATATTTTGTAATGGCCATTCTTCAATATTAATTTGTCTGTGTGGTTGTAAATTTGTTATTTCTTTTATGACATATGCCTCTACAGTGGTTTCATAATTTGTGGTTTTAGATGATATTTTGATGTTTACTCTGCCGTTCGAGGAAAGATTACATTTTCCAATACCACAAATATCCAGCTTGTCCTTTTGTGCATCTAAACCTAAGCGCCGCATTAATTTTTCTGAAATGAAGTTCAGTTGAGACCTAGAGTCTAACAATACTCTGCAATCAATTCGCTCTTGTTTTTTCGTATATGCGGATATAACTGCAGTTCCCAAGAACACATATTTATCGTTTTTTCTTTCATAAGTTCCAGCCATATTTGCTGCTTCTTGTTTATTTATTTCTTGGTTTTCATTCATATTTTTATATCTGTGCAATAGAGTGTTATGTTTTCTTTTGCACACTCTGCAGCCAAACGTTAAGCATTTATTCATGCTGTGCCCCTTTTTTAAGCAATTGAAACACAGCTTATGTTTCTTTATTTCAATTTCTCTTTGCATTAACTTCATGCCCAAAAATTTATCACACTTATGAATGGGATGTGTTTTATTGCAGATGATACATTTTTCAGAATTTGCAGCTACAACATGCGATGAACCTTTTTCCCACTTTTGGCTAGTACTTGGTTGTTTCATACCAACTGCTTCCGTTGATTCAAATCTATTTTCGAAAAACATCAGAAAATCCTTCAGTGATTGTAGTTCTTTTGGTGATTCTAGCAGGTGCTCGTATTGGGCGTTGCTGTCTTTATCTAATTTTTTTATTAGGATGTGTAAAATAATCGGATCCCAGTTACCAAAAATTTTTAGTCCTAAATTTTCTAGCATCAATATGCATTCTCGAGTTGTATCTAGCATCGCTTTTAATTGTTTTGCTGACCCGATGCTAATATTTGGTTGATTAATTAATCGATCCAATATATTTGAACTTAACAACCTTTTGTTATCATATCGATTACTTAAAATTTTCCATGCTAGATCATAATTTGACTCTGTTATAGTCAAATGTCTAATTAATCTTTCAGCTTCACCGCTGAGATTTGTTTTTAAATAATACATTTTTTCTGTGTCACTTAAGTGACTTTGTCTATCTATCATCTTAGTGAATAAGTCACGGAACTGCACCCAATTGAAATAATCGCCATTGAATTTAGGTACTTCAATGGTAGGTAGACTTATTCTTGGAGTAACTTTTTCATACGTTTCAACTTCTCCAACCTTCACTTTTGCTACAGCACACTTTTCTTTTAATTTGATCGTCAGTCTATGCCACTCCAACTCCAATTCTTGAATTCTTTCTAGATCGAAACCAAACTGAAGTGGATTTCAACACGTAACATGACTTCATTGTAGTATTCTTGAATTTTATTAAATCTTGTCTCGAGTAGACTTATTTTTGATTCATAATATTCTCTAGATTGGGCTTCTAAAGAAATATTTGCCATTAAATTAATGAAAGCTGATTCGTTCATCAAACACAATTTTATAACATCTGCAATTACTGATCTGGGTCCAGATTCTTCTTCTTCGTTGTCTACTCGTTCTTTATCTTCTTCAATACTTAATTGTTTCTTTAATTCAATTAAGCTTTTCTTCTTGCTAATTAGTTTCTGATTAATCATTTCGTACAATTTAGCTGTTTGACCACGATGATCTTGCACGAAATAAGGATGATCTAACATTTCACCATATTTAGTTCTTATTTTGTCATCGTTCTCCTCATAATTCTTCCAAATTTCATCTAATTTACATTGCTTGTCTTCCACAAGTTTCAATGTCCTTCTTTCCTCAGCTGTCCATTTCGAAGCCTTTAGTTGACGTTGCAGTTCTTGATCACGTCGGGGTCACCACTATGTTCAAACCTTCGGATATTTTGATTTTAAATAGGTCCTTGGTTGATCTTTAGTACTATTGCAAGATACTCAGGTGTACCACCAGCGCAGAGCTTACAATAATATTGAATAATATTGCTGTAGAGTAAAGGATAAGTTCTTGAATGATCTTTAATACTATTGCAAGATACTTAGGTGTAACACCAGCGCAGAGCTTACAATAATATGGCTGTAAAGTAAAGGTTATAAATTAGAACAATCTAATTTCAATTTTCAAGAATGACTATATTTATTATAAAAATCTTAACCTATTTATACTCGATTTTATTAACATAAAATCCCTTCTTAAAAACATATTTTAATTATAATATATTATCAATACATATGTATTTGTTATCAAAAGTATTTACACAGTATGCAAATAATATTAAAAGTATTTACAAATTATAGTGATAAACCTTTTTAACTATTTTATACCTCCTATAAAGAAACCGAAAAGAGGTATACATTATAATTAGAGGAATTTACATTGTACATACCCGCAATAAAAGTACAGTTAACAGAATATATTCAAGTGTAGTTAAGAATGCGTTATCCTTATCAATAGAAAAATGTACATAGTAATTCAATAACATAAAAAAGAAAGTAAGTTAACAAATACATCAAAATTTTATTTTTATTTTCTTTTTGTTATTCTTTAAATCTTAACAGGGTATATCTATTACATTTTAAAATTATTCTCATTCCTCTATTTAACAATTTTAGGAATCTATTTAATAAAGAATTTGGACAAAAAGCAATAATTGTAGAGCAATAATCAAAATGTGGCTTGACCATAGTAATAAATATCTTAATAGAACTAACATACTGAATGACAATTGGTTTCTAATTTTAAAAAGAAAATATAATTTTTTTACAAATATAGTCAACATGATGTTTGAAATTAAGCTTATTATCAATTACAAATCCTAAATATTTTATTTCATTTATTAATTCAATATTTATATTATCTAACGTTATATTATTATTAACTAACATACCATTAATAACCATTGCCTTTGTTTTTTCCGTATTAACTTTTTTACTACTTAACCATCTGTTTACTTTCACAAAATCCTTATTCATTTTATTGAGACATTCTTCAGCAGTAGATTCTCCAATATAAAGAAGGGCATCGTCAGCAAATAAAACAACTTTGACATGTTCAACTACTTTTACTATATCGTTGATGTATATTAAAAACCACAAAACACCTAAAATAGTTCCTTATGGTACACCCAAATTTATTTCTGTACTATCTGAAACAACGTCGTTTACTTTAGTTCTCTGTTTTCTATTTTTTAAGTAAGATTTAAACCATTGTTGTTCTGTGCTACGAATACCATATGCGTTAAGTTTAGATAGCAAAATGTCACGATCAATTGTTTCGAATACTCTGCGTAAGTCAAGAAACATAGCCAAAATTACTTTTTTTTTCACTTACAGCAATTTTCCAATTTTCTACGACGAGGTTAAGCAATGATTCGCAGCTATGTTTCTTTCGAAAGCCTGATTGATGCTCAAAAATTAAATCATGTGTATCCAAATACTTTTCTAATTGATTGTAGACAATTTTTTCCATAATTTTTGCTTCATTAATGATTGTGTTAACTGGTCTGAATTCTGTGCATTTGTTCGTGTTTTTTACTTTTTCTATAGGAATTACTAAAGATTCTTTCCATATTTCAGGATAAACGCCATCTTGTGAAGATTGGTTTATAAGATGCACATAATTGTTTCCAATTATGTCTAAACAGTTCAAAAACATTTTTGCACAAACTAAATTAGCATCTTTTTTGTTGTTCATATTTTTAATAACAAGTTGCAAGTCATCTAGGGTGTATGCATTGAAAACAGAACTTTTTGGGATAAAAATAATGCTTTATTTTATTGAAATAATGAAATAACATGTTATTCAAAATATTGTCCATCGTTTGCGATCACTTTTTCCCACTTTTCTGGTAACAAATGATTTCCGCGCCGGAAAAAGGCTTCATCTTTCGAGGCGAAAAATGAATCAAACCAATTTTTAATACCTTGATCAGAAGTGAAGCGCATTCCAGTGAGGGCGTTTTGCATCGAACGAAATAAATGGTAGTCGGATGGGGCCAAGTCTGGTGAGTATGGCGGGTGAGACAAAACTTCCCAGCCACTGTTTTCCAGGTAATTTTTGACCGGTATAGCAACGTGGGCCGAGCATTGTCATGATGGAAAATTACAGACTCGTGCCTGGTCACATATTCCGGCCGTTTTTCTGTCAATGCCTTCTTCAAACGAATTAATTGTTGTCTGTACAGCTGTGCCGTAATAGTTTGACCTGATTTCAGCAACTCGTAGTGGATTGGTCCCCTCTGATCCCACCAAATACTAAGCATTACCTTAGAGCCGTGTATATCCGGCTTTGCCATCGATGTTCCTGGCTGGCCGGGCTTCATGATTTCTTTCGCTTCGGGTTATCATAATGTATCCATTTTTCGTCGCCAGTAATAATTCGATACAAAAACGACTTCTTTTTGTAGCGTGCAAGGTGCTTTTCGGACATGCAAAATCGCCTTTCGACATCTCTTGGTTTCAGTTCGTGTGGCGCCCAATTTCCTACCTTCTGAATGAACCCGAGCGATTTCAAACGCCTGGAAATGGTTGCCTGTGACACGCCAAGTGCTTTTGCGAGCTCATCTTGCGTTTGGCACGAGTCTTCACTGAGTAGGGTCTCTAATTCTTCGTCTTCAAATTTTTTCTCTTGACCAGGGCGCTCTTTGTCCTTGATATCGAAATCGCCACTTTCACAGTTATAAAATTATAAGTTCTAGAAAAAAAAAATATAAGAAATGAAAAGCAAAAGTAGGTCAAGCTTTTTTTTCATAGGCTGAGATTTATAATGACCGCAAAATTGAGATATCAGGTTCAAAGCTATTTTTCGATTTGATTTTTTTAAATTTTATATGAATATTAAACAAGCTGTTGAATTAATGATGATAATTGAGGTGATATAAAGAAAGATGCGCGAATGTATTAGTTTCAGTAATTCATAACCTATCATGTCCTTTACATTAACTTTAAATGCTAACAGTTCCATACTAACAGCAGAATATTTTCCGCCTATAGATTTACAATGAGAATATGTTTGTGCTTTAGTTGATTTCCAGACATATAATTCAATACCTAATATTGATAATGATAACAATAAATTCATAATCGGTAGTAGAACCATAAATATTCCAATTGGTTCCTATGAAGTTGAAGATATAGAAGAGTTTCTTAAAAGAGAGTTGCAGATTAATAATACTAAAGTAGATAAGAAAAAACTTCATATAAAACCTAATAATAATACACTGAAATGTGAAGTTTTTTCTACTGAAGAGATTGATTTTCTGCAGAAAGGTACAATTGGGAATTTATTAAGATTTAGTCAGAGGAAACTTGAAGCAAATAAATGGCATGTATCAGATTTACCTGTTGATATCAATAAAATTAACATTATACGCATTGAATGCAGTATTATACAAGGGACATATATTAACGATAAAGAAGCACATATTCTACATGAATTTTCTGTTGCGGTATCACCCGGGTATACAATAATCGAAGTCTCACGAAATCTTATTTATTTACCTGTGGCCGTCAACAGAATCAGTACAATCGTGATAAAATCAATTGATCAGATCGGCAATTTGATTAATTTTCAAGATGAAACTATAACGGCGAGACTACATTTGAAAAAACAAGAAAATATATTATAAACATGTTCCTTTATGATAGTAATAGTTATATATCTTCAATTAATAAGTCTCATCCATTCAATAATCAATCTGCCTCAACAGTGACAGGTTCCAGAGGAGCAGGTAAACCGATTTAAACAATCGAAAATCAGGAAGATTTAAAATTAATTATATTAAAGTTAACAATACATTAAAATGGAGAGTTTATTTGGTAATCCAGTTATTGACGAAAGTACAACAAGCGCTCATTGGCATACATATTCACCATTTTTGAATTCATTTAATAAAAGCGATATTATACGCATACAGATACAAAATCAAAATTTAAACATTTTACCTTCTACTAGTTTACTTTATATTGAAGGTACTATTACAAGAGCTGATGGTAGTGAAACAACTAAAACAAAACTTATAAATAATGCTATTGCATTTTTATTTGATGAGATACGGTATGAGTTAAATGGGAAAGAAATTGATAACAATAGAAATGTGGGTATAACATCATGCTTAAAAAATTACATTTCATTAAACAAAAATGAGAGTCAAGCACTTATTAATGGTAGCTGGTCACCTGAACAACCAATTCAACCACAAACTTTATTTTTTAATTATTGTATTCCGTTAAGAAGACTTTTAGGATTTGCGGAGGACTACAAAAATATTGTGCCGAATGCAAGACATGAAATAATTTTAACACGTTCAAGATCTGATGATAATTCCTTTCTTTGCTCTGATGTCAATGAGAAACCGAAAATTCAACTGACCAAAGTGCAATGGAGAGTACAGCACATCAATTTAACTGATACGCTGAAATTGAACTTGTATAGGAATATTACAAATAAAGCAAAAATAATGCTAGCTTTCAGAAATTGGGAATTGTATGAATATTCATCGTTACCACAAAATAGTAATCATCATATTTGGAATGTAAAAACAACAACTCAATTGGAAAAACCACGTTACATTATTTTTGCTTTGCAAACAGATAAACTTGACCAAGTAACGAAGGATCCATCAAAATTTGATCATTGTAATATAACTGATCTAAAAGTTTACCTAAATTCAGAATGCTATCCGTATGAAGACATGAATTTATTTTTTGAAAGAAATCGTTACGGTATTGCTTATGATGAGTACACAAGGTTTCGAAGTAGTTATTACAATTATCCTATATTTATTAACATTACAGGAATTTAAAGAAAAAGCTATGATTTTGATAATAGACACTCGTTATCAAAATGAAAATCTAAAAATGGGGCCGGTTGATGTTCGAATTGAAATGAAAAGTTCAGCTTCAATGCCCGATAAAACAACAGCTTACTGCCTTATGTTGCACGACAGATTAATTGAATTCACACCTTTGACCGGTGAAGTTAATAAAATCGTTTAATGAATCAGATGTATCAAATCTTAATTTGTTTGGAGAAGTTTCCAATATATCAGAATAAATATCTTCATAAAAATCATCAGTTTTTATAGTATAAACGAAACTATCAGTATCCATGTAGTTAATTTTAACATTTTCACCAAATTTAGGGATCATATATTCGTAGTGAAAATCATACATTAATATCTTTGATTGTTCAAGTATACTGAAACCTAAATAAATTGGTTTATCATAAAATATTTCCATTTTATCTAATTGTATAGCAGCTAAACCTTCTGTAAATTGTGAAATACTATGAAAATTTTTTCTTGCAATTAAAGCTCTCGCACCCAAACGCTTACCTTCACTTTCCCATGAAGTAGCTATTTTAATCAATTTTCTTTTTTCAACGTGTTTTTCCGTAACCTGCGTTATTCATTAATTTAAAAAAATTTTTATCTAAAAGATTTGTAGCATTCATTCTATGATCTGTATTAAGATCAATATATTTTTTTAAAAAATCAGATTGTTTAAATTCAATTACTCTATGAATATGTTCTAAAATAAGCCCATTTTTTAAACATTGCTTTAAAGTTCTATAATGTATTATGTATTTTTTTTTATCAGTTAAATCTGTTAACAACTTATTTAATTTCCCTATTGGTGGAATTTTATTTTCAGCACAAAATGGTAAATCATTGTGCTTATCATGTAATTCAAATGGATATTTTAAATCAACTTCCAACACATAACCAGTTTGAGAATTATCTGCAGTATTGAGAATATCAATATTGGAGAAATCATTTACCCACTTAAATGAACCTGTGGGGAGAAACGTTGACATCGCCCAACCATATAGGTTGTTTGCATCACAATAAAATAAATATTGACTATCGATTTCAGTATTAAAATCATCCATATATTTATTATTAGCTTTTGAATGTCTACAAGAACATTGGCAAATACCACCCCGTATTCCTTTTTGGAAAAATTTTATCATTTCTATATCCGTCAATAATTCTAATTCAACTTTGGTATATTTTAATATAGCCTGCCAAGCTAAACCTGGAGTTGTAAAAAAGTGTGCAGGATCCAAATCATAAATTTTTTTACAAATTTTTCTAAAATTTTCAAAAATATCAGCTAATAATAATACATCTGTCTTGAGGTAAATTTCTAAATATTCCCATAATGTTTTGCAATTAAAAGTTTCCCATACTTTTTTCGCATGAAGGTATTCTAGATCTGAACATTCTGAATTTAAAATTTGATTTTTGAAAGCCTCTTCAGGTGGTAACATTTTTTCGTTAAGCTTGCTTAAGGAATCAACATAACTATATGGAAATATTCCCTTATTTTTCATTAAATTAAATTTTATATTATCAGGATAATGATTTCTGACATTAATTAATTGACTATCTTCTAAATTTCTACCTAAACTATCAAGACTTGAACCTAAAAATCTAAAAGAATCTAAAAATCGTAATGTGAAATATGTACCACTATAATCCGACTTAATAGATTTGCTTAACGAAAAATATTTTTCCTTGTTTAAAGGAATTACATTAATTGATCCATGAACACAATTTAAACTTTTAAATAAAATATGACAATCGTAATTAGAAAAATTATGAAAAAATATTGGAAAAAAATGTTTTAACTTATAGCTAAGATTACATTTATTATGAGAAATTCCTCTAAATTTCCCAGTTAAGTGGCAATGATCATATACTTCATCATCTTCCAATTCAATTTCCTCCTCGCATATATGGCAAACTTTTGTATTTAAATTTTGAGTTATTTGTTCCTTTGTAAGCGGTATCATGGGCTTCTTTTTCAAAATATAGTTTTCAAATAAATCACTGCAATCTCCTATTAAGTTTTTCAAAAAATCATCTGCACAATTTTCACCTAAAAATATATATAAATATATAATATATATTGCATTTTGAAACCACATTTCATTTAAAAAATATGTTATTATTATATGTACTTACCTTTAAAATTTCTGTATTTATCCAAGCTTGAATCGAAAGAACATTTAATGAAATATGAAAAGGCAATTGGTGTATGCAATTCTATATCTGTTGTTGATGATATAGCAAGATTTTGTTGACAACCTTGAATTTTTTCCAAAATACATTCTGAATCAGCATATATAACAAATGGAACATCAAGTTGCTGATAATAATTTTTGAATTTTAAAATTTCACTCTCTTTTGTAGGAAGCCTTGTTACAATTTTATTACATTCATGTTTATGTTTTTCCAAAATGGATTGTGAGTTAAAATGTAATAAACATCCTGAACACATATATATTCTTCCTTTATGTTTGGTAATTTTGTTAACTAATAATTTAGAGATATTCTTTATCCATACATAATGGAAACGCTCTTTTTTTTCAATCAACAATAAATTAATGTGATTACTTTTAATTAATTTTGTATGATAATATGGTCCAATAACATTGGAATTTTCATCTAACCCAAAAACGTTTATACTAATATTTGGATTCAAATTTTCAAACACATAAATATCATCAACTTTCATAGGAAACTGTAATCCGGTAAAGTTTAAACTAATTTCCTCGTTCAATAAAATAATTTCTCGGTTAATGTTGCACATAATATTATAAGAACTAGTTCTGTCAGAATGAGAAACTTTAAAAATGAAGATATCAACACCCATTTAAAACAAAAAAGATCGTTATTTTTCACATTTACACAGGCTTGTTTATTTTTGATTTTTTTTGGTAAATCAATACAACTTGAACCTGAAATTGGTTCATATTTATTTATATTAACTTCCAAATGTAAAATATCCGATAAAGCCCAACCGCTATCTCGTTCTTGAAATTCATCCATCAATTTCTGAATTCTATCATTGTCCTCAATCAAAAAGTTTTCTATGTCACGTTCCAAATTTATTAATTTCATTCTTGTCATAAACGATTTTATATCTGTTTCAGGGCAAGAAGAACCATCATCACCATCATTCAATGTCTGCGGTTTGACATATTTACAAAATAATTCTAAATTGTATTTGAAATTGCCTATACATTTTAAAATTTTTTTTAATAAATTAATAACTTTACTTGTATAATATTTAATAAAATTATTAATATTGATTTCAGATTTATCAATATTTTCAATTATGTAAGTTTCAGTTCTATTTCGAAAACCTCCTTTAATGTATTTTATATTATCATCTACTATCAAAGCACATTTTTCTTTATGTGCGTTAGTCCGTAGATGATAATACCATTTGAAGCCTTCAACTTCTATTTCACATGTTTCACAATATATTTTTTGTTTTTTTTTTTAATTGAATATCGACGTTAGCACTATCAATCTTTCGTTTATTTAAATGTAATTTTTTTATATGAAAACGTAATGTATCTGGGCGAGTAAATTTCATATCACATATCTCACATAAAAAAGTTCTGTTTTTTTTGTGAATATCTAAATGTCTCCTCAAATTTCTATTTGTTTTTAATTGAATGCCGCAAATTTCACACAACATTTTTTTTTTTTATATACTTATATGTTGAACCTTTAATTAAACTGAAATTTTCTTTTAAAAATGAAACCTCAATATGAATAAAAAAATTTTTTTAGCGTTTTTTTATTTTTTATTTTTTAACGTTTTTTTATTTTTTCTTTTTTTCTTTTTTAAATTCATTATAATAACATCACATCATAATTATTTCACCATCGTCATCAGATTCAGATTCGATTGCCATTTGGTTCTGCTCATCATCGTCATCATCTTCTTCTTCAGATTCCACTTTTAACTGCGATTTAACAAATTTCACATCAAATGTGCGTCCAAATTGACCCTTGTTAACGATTCCATATCCAGTTTTTAACTTATCGATGTTATCATCGGTAAGCTTATTAAACCTGATAGGTAAAAATACTCCAAATTTTTTAAAATTTGCGAGTATTCGTAATCCGTATTTAGTATCCATTTTTGTAATGTTTGAAATTACATAAGTTTTTTTTAATTTCATGTCGGAAATTTTTTTTATTGGAACATGTTTAATTTTGAAAGCTTTATTTAAATTCTTAGCAAAAGAATCCATTTTAGATGTTTGTGCTTCGACTTCTAAATAATTAATGATTAATTATGTTATATGAATAAATTTAATAGAAGATATTCCCATGTGATTTTAAACGTATTAAAATAAAAGAACACTATTTATGTGTTTTTTTGTTTTATATTTTTTTAATTTTAGGAATTTCTAATTCTACTTACAAATTTTATTTTTCACTTCTTCATACAATGAATTTAGTTGTTGTTGTGTTATTAAGGTTGCCATCGATTTGTGGGAAAATTTGCAGCGCATACAGCGTGGTCCATAATCCTATCTAAATTCTTCTGCGTCTTCTTTACAATCAAACGACGCAACTTCGTAAAATTTAAAAAAAGTCCCATGTAGGGTCTTGTTTCTTATTTGATTACAGGTTGACTCTACTTCAGCGAAACATTCCTCGCAGTAAACAATATCCTTCGAATTTTCCCAACAGGCTTCCAAAAACTCATATCCATCATCGAACGCTCCATTTTGAACATCGAAAAATGTATAAAACAAGTGCCACATTTTTCCTGTACCGAATGCTGTTACTATTTGGTACTCATGATGTGGGATATGGGTTGAATACCCCATTCTTCGAATAGCTGATTCTCTCGGCATTTTCAAATTTATTGTAATTTCAATTAAAAATCGACTTGGTTTTATACTCGTGGAGAGCTTTAGTTTTGATAATATAAAACTCACATATATAACGTTCACGTTTATCAAATCATTCCAACCAACGTGTCCATTATCAGAATTTATAATTATTCTTAAAACAAATTCCAACATGTAATCGTAATACATAATTAGCAAGAATTTATTATGCAGCTATTGGTGTTCTATAAAATAGTTTAAGTACCATGAAACCACAAACATCCTAATTTTTTAAAAGTTTTCAAGGTTCCTATTTAAAAAATTATTATGAAACCGCAAACATCCTAATTTTTTTAAGAGTTTTCAAGATTCCTATTTAAAAAATTTTTTTTATTTAATTCTTTTCTTTTTGTACAGAAACAAGATTTATAATTTTTCTAAATACATCTCCCATTATGTTATCATAATACTTTGCGTAATTTAAAAAAATTCATTAAACATTAATGACACATAAATAGTTTAGAGTACTATAAAACCGCATACATCCTCCAAACTTTCAAGACTACTATTTATAAAATGAATTTTTTTCTTTTATTTTTATAAAGAAATTCCCAAACGTCACTATAAATACGCCTACATTAGACTTAAACTTTTTTTCATAATTCCATAAACCACATAAATTCTTATCATCAAACAATTACGAAATATAAATAAAATGTTATTTTATCATTCAATTATAATACTTTTTTAATTTTAGGGAATCTCTGTGTGACGTAATTTTCCAAACATTATTAAAATATTATATTAGCTATATTGTAGAATGAGGGAACAAAAAAAAAAGCGATAAAAAAATTTAAATTCCTTATCATCAAAAATATTTTCATTTCGCATTAAAATAGTAGGTTATACATTTAACTTAATGTAGCTATTGTAAAAAACCGCAAACTTTCATGATGCATTACGTTCCACATTGTATATCAAAAAACTTTTTTTTTACAATATCATCCGTTCCATATTGTACAAAATGCGTTTAATTTTTACAGAATTCCAAAAAAAATTTTTTACAATGTCATCCGTTCCATATTGTATAAAATGCGTTCAATTTTTATACGAAACTTAACCACCATTAGAAACAAATTAATTACATTCTCATACTTACAAAAATTCAAACCCCTTCAACTTTTTTAAAATTTATTTTTTTGCCCGTTTGCCCGTTGGTCCAGGACCCGCATATTTTTTTTTGCCCGTTTGCCCGTTGGTCCAGGACCCGCATATTATACTACTCACGTTGTTGTTAATTTATAGAACGTATTTAAGCACGTAATTGGTCTGAAACTCAACGGATCGCTGTTTGTTACATTTTTCGGCTTCATGAATGTGAGGCCTGTACAGAGAGTTTCCGGTGTTGAACCTGGGTCGTTAATAAACTGGTTTATATAGCTCAACATTAACGGATGCAGTGATGTTAATTTTTTTAGCCAGAAGTTTTGGATTTTATCGTTACCTGGACATTTCCAATTTTGGAGCTTATTGACGCTGTTTTTAAATATTTCGTTGCTGACACTAGTTGTTGGCATTTGTTGTGTTCTTTTAGCCCTTTGTTTGATAATGCTTATTTCTGGAGCATATACCAGACCAGTACTGCTGCATTTGCTCGATTGTAGGCACTTGCGTATGATCACATTCGACCTTTTTTAGGGAGGCATAGAATTTCTTTTGGCTTCGTTCGAAGGATTTATTGTCATTATTACGTTTACTGCTTTTCCGATATCGCCTCAATCTTTTCGCATACATAGATAGCTTTTGTTTAACTGTACTGCACTTCTATAGGAGTATTATTTTGTGGATCTCTTTGTGTGTGGAACTTATATTTTCGCAGAAGTCTTTTTACTTTTTTGTGTTGTTTCCGGTTTGTAATTTTATGATTTATATATGTTGTTAATAGTCCAGCTTCAGCTCTCAATGTTTCGATGCTATTTGTTAATCTACGTTGGCTTATTGACATTTTCTGTACTAGAAGTTGTTGCTGTTGGTCTGACTGACAGCGTGTCTCATAGACGAGTTTCCTTCCGTTTAGTAGCGTGATTGCAGCTGCGCAGCTATAGACATAGGTATTTAACTGTTCATAGCTTGTAATTTCTGGTGCAATCTTTGGGATTACCTTTGAGTTTGTTAAATCTACCAACTTGAGTAGATTCTGGGTTATTTTTTGAGTTGGTATCTTTGGTCTACTAGTGTATTCAAGAGAAGTAAACCTAATTATTGAATTCAGGATCTCAGTTTCTATTTGCTCGCTGAGATTCGTATTCTCTTCGGTGGGGTCGCTGGGCACACCTTCATCAGCTCCACGTTGGTTATCTGCCCGATTATTGAGACTGTTGGAGCTATCTCCTCTCCTTGGCGCGACTCTATTTGCAGCTTCTTGAGAACCTGGATCTGGGTAAGCTACAACATCTTGCATATTGGTGTTCCTTTCATTAGCGATGATGTCTTGTTGAACTTCAGCATATATGCGGTTCCTGGTGGCCTCTGGTACTAGGTTATTCCTTATTATTGCAGCTCTACGGTCAGCCAGGTTTTGTTCATTACTGTGTGTGAGCTCCGGGTATTTACGCATAAATTCCTCTCTTAACATCTGCCTGTATGATGTTAAGTCACTTTCACAGCGGGTAATTTGATAATATGTTTTGAGAATGAATTCGTTCATAGAATTCCTCCACATAATTATTATTATTATTATTATTATTATTATTATTATTATTATTATTATTATTATTATTATTTTTATAATATTATTTATGTTGTAGTACTTATTATTTATAATAAGTAAAGGTTTTCTAGACATATTTCTAACTAATTTCTCATTTTTATTGCTACCATTACTCCTAGCTGAGCCATAGTCCTTAAAAACTAGAGTGCTGTCCCATTGTGCCAAGACTTATGGGCAATTATGCCATCAGCCGTGGCAAAAGGTAAAGTAACTTCAAAAGCTTTGTATTTTGGTTTATATCTTAAGCTTTTTAGAGTAATATTCACAATTTTTATATATTCACAATTAAACTGATTTTTTATTACTGCACTAAGGTTACTTACACGGGTACTTACTGGAAGTTTTGAAAAGTGTAGAGTGAACAAATGGGAGGAAATTGACGAACGTTTGACAGATGATTTGACAGGACGACGAATTAGCAGCAGGGTCAAAAGTAGACGGCTTATAGACAATGGCGACAGTTGAGGAATTCGAAAATGTATTTTCCTCCATAGTTTTTTTAAACATATCTGGCCATGGGGACACAGTAGAACCCAGGATCCCTTGTGTTCAGGTTGATGTAGGTCTGATTATATATCTGTTCATGTATATGTAGGCTTGCCTTAACCTTGACACAGAGCTTCCCTACATCACTCTTAAGTGCAGTCATCTCCTTCTTCAATATTTCTATACCCGGATTTCTGGAGTCCTTTAGTTGTTTGTAGTGCCGCATTTAGAGGCTCTTCATTAGTTTTATTAAGCGGAGTCATATAAATTATTCGCGTCATCAATCCTTTGACAAAGATCTGTTAGTACGTTATCAGTGTTTCCAATAACTTTTATTACTTTATTGAGGAATTCCATCTGATCGTCCTTTATGACTTACAGGCAAGACAAATGTACTTTCGTATCAATATTAAAAAAAAAAAACATTTTTTAATTTTATTCAAACAAAAGACACTTTTATTAAAATTCAATTTGATTAAAAAAATCAACCTTTATACTTATTATAGTTAAACCATAAACTATGACTAAATTTACAATTAAGTACTTATAACTAAGTTTATTATTTTAATGTAAAATTGCTGATAACGACAAAACGTGTCTACATTTGGATTGTACCGTTTTGTTGATATCAGACATAAAATTTTGTAATTGAGTGTCTGCATTCTTTTGTTATATTATTAGAACTTTTTTATTTTTTAATTTAAAATTTTAAATAACAGGAAGTGTTGCATCACCTTTAACAACGGTGTTATACGTAACTTCTCCCCCGTTAAGACTTGAATTCTCCTGAATTTTATTAATATTAAATTCTTTCTTAAATTTTTTTACATAATGCAAATACTTCAACAAAAATTGCTATAAACAATATTAGAATTGTTATTTATTTTTTTTTATTTATTTATTTATTTATTCTCCATCAATATTCAATTTACAATATTTTTATAGCTATATTACAGAGTTCAGATTGATTGATTAATCTTTTCAACTGTGAAATAATTTTAGGTTACAATTTTTTTAAAAATTTAAGTTAAAATATTTAGAG